TTTGTTTTAAGTTTACGTGTTGATTAGACCCCTCTAAGAAACATTATTGTTATTTATGAGATGATTGAGATAAACAGTAGCAATAAAACATTTTTTTTTTTAAATTGATGCAGTGGCATCAAATTTTCTAATCATCTTTTGCCACTTTTTAAAATGATTTATTAGTATAAATTGTCACAATTTAAAATGTATTTTTTTAATGTTAATAAATAAATTAGCTTAAAATAATACATAAAAATTCAAAGGATAAGCAAAGTATAATCTAAAGTATAAAACAAAGTCAAAGTTGTACATGTTTGCAAAGTGATGGAGCATTGTAATAGTCTCAGTGCATCCAAATAAAGGCATCATGTAACTGATTATTCTTTCTTATCTCACATTAAAGGTTCAATACTGCAGATATATATAAAGTATTAGTAATAACATTGGTACTGCTAAATGTGTATATAACTAATTATTTATTGATTTAAGATCAAAGAGTGCCCTATATGATCTTAGACCTCAAATTTTACTTCCAAATATATTATAAATAATCAACCTACATAAGTACTATCTTATCTTCATATGAACAAAACTCATCATCCTTATGCGTGCATGTGTACATACAAAACTATAAACTGTCATTTTTAGATTGAATTCATCTTTCATGCGTAGCTGTATTTTCACCAACTAATTTACTAAAGCTTATTTTGTAAGCAAATGTAAAATGGATATTAACTAAAATCTTGGTAATATTGTTTACATATTTACGTATTAACGTAATAACATAATACCATATATAAAAGATATATTAGTTATATTCTATAATATAATAATATTTTTGGTAACATTATTGTTTGCAAATTCTCCATATATTTTTTTACGTATTTATAATATAATACCGTATAGAAAAGATATTAATTAATTAGGTAATAACATATTAGCACAATTGGTAATATTATGTATGGTATTACCGTGTATAGTTTTTGGATGTTTATCACCAACTAATTTAATACAACTTATTTTGTAAGCAAATGTAAAATAGAAATTAACTAAAATCTTGGTAATATTATTTCCATATTCAATGCTCTCACGTACTAACATAATACCTTATATAATCAATTTAAACAATTTATAATATAACTAATTCATATATATATATATATATATATATATATATATATATATATATATATATATATATATATATATATATATATATATATATATATATATATATATATATATGTTACAACCTCACGGTCAAATCTATACTATATAATTAAAAACAAAATCCTATTTACATGATTTCCTGCCCAAACAATAGTAAATAGTAAAGGTAAATTAAAAAAAAAAGAATGAAAAAAGAAACATAAATATTTCACAATAATATTCTACATCATCAATTAAAAATATAATGGAAATTAGGTAAATTGAAAAAAGAAATGAATATTAATAATTCACTGAAAATTAAAAATGAAAAAAAGGAATTGAAGTTAGGTTAATTAAAAAAGTAAATGAATATTAATAATTGACTGAAAATAAAAATGATCCATAATTGACTAGAATGGAAAAGGAAATGGTCAGATCATTGCATTTTAATTTTTCACAATAATATTATACAGTATAATACATCAAATCACAATTATGTCATAAATCTTTCACAATTTTAAACAACAAAATGGAAATTAAAAATGGAACAAAAATATTTTAATAATAATATTCTACATCATCAAGTAAAAGTAAATTAAAAATGAAAAGAAAATATTTAAATAATAATATTCTACATCATCAATAGTAAAGATAAATTAAAAATGCAACGAAAATTAAAAATGAAACTGAAATATTTCAACAATAATATTGTACATCATCAATTTAAAATGGAACAAAAATTGAGTAAAAATATCACTGCATCTGATATCCTAATTGGCTAATTGACTGAAAATAAAAAAGAATAATTGGTTGAAAATGAATATGACATTACAAATTGACTGAAAATATAAAAAGAAATGAATACTAATAGTTGACTGCAAATAAAAAATGATCCATAATTGATTAATATGAAAAAAAAATAAATGGTTAGATCATTGCATTTTAATTAAAAATGGAACGAAAACTAAAATTTGACCGAAATATTTCAATAATAATTCTACATCATAAATAGTAAATGCATATTTTAAACAATATTAAAGATAAATTAAAAATGAAACGGAAATATTTCAATAATAATATTATACATCATCAATTAAAAATGAAACGAAAATTAGGTAAAAATATCACATTCTAATTGACTAATTGACTAATTGACTAGAAATATAAAAGAATAATTTGCTGAAAATGAATTTGATATTACTAATTGACTTAAAATATAAAAAAGATCGCTAATTGACTAATACTCTACCATTATATATTTTTACTCGAGTCACCTATCCTGATGGACTGAAGGTGTTAGCTCTATACGATGATGGACATGATTGCGTTGTTACTACCAATGTCTACAAAGAGATTTCAATAATGTGTAAATACAATCGTTGATATTATATTTTTTTAAATGACAAAATTGCTATATATATGGACAAAAAAATATATATTCTATACAAATGAATTAAGACAGCAATTCATTCATATAACTGAGTTGCTAGAGAACGAACACATTTGTCTAATTTATATAAAAAAAAAATACTAAACAATGTTAAATAAAATCTCCAAATTACAGCACAACATGCGTACATCTACACATTAGCTATTAATTTGAATAATTATTTGCTCAAATTCAAACAATGATAACAACAAAACACATAAATAATCCAAACCATATATATCTTCAACTGCACTATATAATATTTGATGTTCTAATTTATATAACTATATATCAATCCAAATATTTTTAATATATTATAACAATTCATTCCGTGCATCGCACGGGCGCAAATACTAGTTTAAATAAACAGTTTTGGATATGTATCTCTCATTATATTTCTCCAAATAGAATTCATCTCATTCCAAATTATTTCTCATATTGTAATTATTGGGGAATGCATCTTTATAACATCATTATAAATAAATTATATTCCCCGCCCACCACCCCACCCCCCCCCCCCCCGCCAAAAAAAAAAAAAAAAAAAAAAAGAAGTGCTATCCTATGATTCTATCGCCGGATGCATGTCTGCCATTTTGAACTAGGAGCCTCATCACCAACCAAATGTCTCTAGTTATTATTTGTACTTAATTTCTTATCAGATCACAAAGGAAAAAACAATGGGGAAAAGTCTACACCATAATATGTATCAGACAATAGTGCATGGATTAGGTCTATGGTGCACCTTATCTTGAAAGAAAAAAAATAAAATTGAGTGGCCTTACGGGCATTTTGAAAGTAATTTTTTTTTTTTTAAAAGAAAAAAAAAAAAAAAGAAAGAAAGAAAAAGAAGGCGCATCTTTACCATATTACGTGTACATATATTAAAAGAATTATTTATACAACATTAATTTATATTAAACATTAAATTAAAGTGGTGAATGCTCTGTACCTTTTCACATTATTTCCTTTTCGAACCATTTGAATATAAAATGGCATTTCCTTTTCAATGATTCATACTAATTCAACCATATATTAAACAATCAACATGCATGAACGCATGCATTATTATTATTTGAATACGCATTATTATTATTATTATTATTATTATTATTATTATTATTATTATTATTATTATTATTATTATTATTATTATTATTATTATTATTATTATTATTATTATTATTATTTGAGAATATAATTAATGAAGCTCACGCTGTTTTTGTTTTTGTTTTTTTTTTTTTTTTGTTTTTTGTTTTTATTTTTTTTTTATTACTATTGGCTTGATAAACTAAAGTTTAAGTTTAATACCTCAAGATATCTATTAACATTGTTGGCTCGAGCAAGATCGTTATTAGCAACTTAAGTTGATTTATCTCTTTATGAATTTTTATCGGTTAAGATCTCAGAACAGATTTCACCTAAAGCATATATATTTGAGTAGTGGCTGTGAAATTTGTTGTAAATGAAAGTTTAGTGATCAAAATTTGTATGTAGAATGCGCGTGAAAAATACCAAGTTGGTTTAGTAGTGATAGGGACTAAAAGCTAAGCTACTCCAAGACGCGTTGTCTTCGAGATGAATGTGCGATGCAGGTCTTCTCTATCTGAAGGTGATGTGGCCGAATATAACATAAATAATGTTAATTTTCATATCAAATTTATGAGTCCATATGATTTAATTTATGTTTGGTATTAGACATATGCATGCACGGAATGTTAGAATTAAAAACTTAATCTAGATACTAACTGACCTATTAAATGTTTATATAAATAGGATAAGATTGAAATAATTCCCCGCCGGTAAGGGCTATGCATGTGATTGTATTATTATATATATGCAAAGAATGGGATACAAATTGGCAGAACAATAGTGCAAGTGTTGAAAGAGCGTTCATATCCTCTATCTTAATTTACATGTTAGTTACTTGTCTAGTAGCTCTAGGGCAGCTCGTGGTTAGATTATTTGGCAAATGCTATTTTTAAGTGTTTAAGAGGATGAGATATTGAAATAAAATGTTCCCAATAACTGTTGGTGATGCATCTTACAATGATTCTTGTGTAAGAAGTTTGAAAGAAAACATGTCATTGAGTAGTAAGTTGGTACTTGGTGGACAACTATTTCATGTTAGATGTTGTGTTCACATTCTGAACTTGTTGGTGCAACTGTGCAAGATGGCCTTAGCACTATTAAAGATGTCATTCACAATGTTTGTGAAAGTGTCAAATTTATAAATTCTTCAGACACAAAGCTAATGTCATTTCATGAAGTTGTTGAATTAAAAGGATTAAAAGAAAGGAAACTTATTCTTGATTGTTCAACAAGATGGAACTCCACATTAATTCTTGATGTTGTGTACTGCAATGAAATTTAAGCATGGCTTTTCAGATTACAATTTAAAAGAGCCACATTATAAGTATGCACCATCATTTGAGGGATTGAGACAAGATTGAGAAGGTTTGTCAACTTTTGGAGGTTTTTAATGATGTCACTCATGTTATCTCAGGTGATTACCCTACTTCTAACTTGCATTGTATCTTACTGAAATTCAAAGGGAGAAAATGGTTATTGATAATGCATATGAGTCTTTTGACATGTTCATGAGTGAGATGGCAAAACCTATGAAAGCAAAATTTGATAAATATTGGGGGGAATGTAATTTGTTAACAGTTATTACATGTGTTTTAGATCCAAGGATGAAATTAAATGGTATTAAGATAAGTTTTCCCTTATTGTATAAATACAAAGTGATGTTGAAAAGAATGTGGAAAAAGGTGAAAAGGGCATTAGAAGAATTATCTCTTGATTATGTGAACTTAGCTTGTATAGTCAAGATGCTTCCTCTACTAGTGAACATAGTGAATTCAATGTTGAAAGCACCACTGTGGGTGATGGTGTACGACAAATGGATAAAGGGATGCAAGAGTTATTGAGTATGGTATACCAAAGTCAATCAATTCTTCTTACGAAATCAAAGTTGGAGACTTATCTTGAGGAAAATATTTTTATTCCTACTTCTTCTTCATCTTTTTGTGTCTTGGAGTGGTGGAATGATAATAGTGTAAAGTTTAAAGTTTTATAAAAAATGGTTGTTGATATACTAGTTGTACCTGTTTCAAGTGTGGCATCTGAATCCACATTTAGTGCTAGGGGAAGGGTGATTTATGAATATCGTGCTAGTTTAAATGAACTATATATTGAAGCTCTTATTTGTGGTGGGAATTGACTTCGTAACAAGTATGGGTTGAAGAAAAAATAAACGGTAAGAATCTTATTTTATATTACTACTTGAACTTGTAAATTTATAATGGACTTAGTTATTTATTCTCAATTTTTTCATTGTATAGTTAGATTCTGAACAAGAGGAGATTATGTTGAAGCTATGACTTGTTTCATTTTATGTTTGAATACTATTACGTTTACATTGTTGTTATTAAGTTTGTATTGTGGACTTTGTTTTGTTGTTGTTGTTAAACTTGTGTTGGACTTTTGTATTATAAACTTGTGGTATTAAACTTGTATTGTTGAATTTTGTATTATGAACTTCTACTTATTAAACTTGTTGGAGTGATGAGCATATTTTATACCTTGATTTAAATAAGATTTTATAGGCTAATTTTACTATTTATATTTTATATTTTATCAATTTAGTTTATTTTGTTATATTAGGATTAAAGAACTTAGTTAATGAATTTATATCTAATTAAACTTATTTGTCATTATAACTTATATAAATATAAGTTGAGTGGGTTATTAGGTAATTAAATAAAATATTTGTTAAGTTAAAATTGTAATCTGCAGTACTCTATGCTTTGCTACTTTATTTTATTTTTATTTTTCTTTGTTTACTTACAGTTTGCAGATGCGAGACGGAGAAGGCGCAAGGAAGGTTTCGGTCAACGGCTTCGAGCGGTTCGTTCGCGAAGGATCTGTAATCAATCTTTTGAATTTGAAGATGAATTTGTTGGAGGAGTTAGCTATTGATGCGGTAAGAGCCTGAATTCTGGGGAAACTTGTGTTGGAAAAATAGCATTAAAATGGCATTTTAAGTGGCTATTTTGTGGTACAATTATCAGTGGGGTCCACTTTCGATTTGGGTCGGGCTAAAGTGGATTCGGGTTCTTCGTAGTGAGACGAAGAGATTGATATATTGTACGCTCAAAACGGATAATGGGTGAATGAGATATTGATTCTCAAAGTAGACCCATTGAGTTGGAAAAATGAAAGGAAAAAGTAAGCTTTTGTCCCACATTGGTTTGGAAAGAGGATTTGACCCACCCCCCCCCCCCCCCCCTTTTATACAAGAGTTTTTTTTAGAGCTTGTAGAATTGTATAGCATAGAAGAAATTGGCTGGCCGAACTGAACCACCATGGGAGGCCGAAACCTGGATTGGATAGTTTCGGCCAGATCGAAACAGAACGCAGCAATGTTTGAAACCATGGTGCCATGGTGGTTCAGTTCGGCCAGCCAATTTCTGGACGACATTCGTGCCCGCAGGTCTGTTTCGGTCTGGCCGAAACCATGGTGGTTCAGTTCGGCTAGCCAATTTCTGGACGCCATTCGTGCCCACAGGTATGTTTAGGCCAGGTCTGTTTCGGTCTTGGCCGAAACTATCCAGATTTCAGCCTCGGGAGGTCGAAACCATGGTGGTTCAGTTCGGCAGCCAATTTCTGGACGACATACACGAGCTCGGGCTTGAATCAAGCCTGTTCGATCTCGTTTCTAAACTATCCAGATTTCAGCCTCGGGAGGTCGAAACCATGGTGGTTCAGTTCGGCAGCCAATTTCTGGACGACATACACGAGCTCGGGCTTGAATCAAGCCTGTTCGATCTCGTTTCTAGTTGGAATTCGTTTCTAGTGTCATGGTGGTTCAGTTCGGCCAGCCAATTTCTGGACGACATTCGTGCCCGCAGGTCTGTTTCGGTCTGGCCGAAACCATGGTGGTTCAGTTCGGCTAGCCAATTTCTGGACGCCATTCGTGCCCACAGGTATGTTTAGGCCAGGTCTGTTTCGGTCTTGGCCGAAACTATCCAGATTTCAGCCTCGGGAGGTCGAAACCATGGTGGTTCAGTTCGGCCAATTTCTGGACGACATACACGAGCTCGGGCTTGAATCAAGCCTGTTCGATCTCGTTTCTAGTTGGAATTTGATTTGCACCCCCCCCCCCCCCCCCCCGCGCGCGAGAGAGAGAGCGTCTATGCTATACAATTCTACAAGCTCTAAAAAACTCTTGTATAAAAGGGGGGTCAAATCCTCTTTCCAAACCAATGTGGGACAAAAGCTCACTTTTTCCCTTCATTTTTTCAACTCAATCGGTCTACTTTGAGAATCAATATCTCATTCACCCATTATCCGTTTTGAGCGTACAATATATCAATCTCTTCGTCTCACTACGAAGAACCCGAATCCACTTTAACCCGACCCAAATCGGAAGTGGATCCCAAAGATAATTGTACCACAAAATAGCCACTTAAAATGTCATTTTAATGCTATTTTTCCAACAATCCCCCACATGAATGAAAAATTGATTTTTGGGGTATTTTGAAATCGAAAACAACTGTGTTGAACCGGTCGATCCCTGCATAGGATAGGTAGGGAGTCACTATACCCTTTGAACCTTCCCTTGTGAAGAAATGTTTACTCTACTGGCTGTTCGGTAGAACCCGATGTCTTTGAACCGACTGCCGTTTGTATAGACGATGACATATCTCACACAGGAACCTCCAACCATGCTCTGTTCTCATGATTGTGCCCATTTTGGTCGTGGGTCACCGTCCCTGGTTCTGCGAGAGTTTCTAAAGAATTGTGCCCAACAATTCTCCTTTGAAGCGACCCTCGCTTCTCTCTTACATAGGTGATTCTTTCTCGAGTATCCCGCATACTCAAGAATCATTAAAGCATCAACATGCTAGCCTCGTGCCAGAGTCACTGTTTCTAACGAGGAGTGGTAGGGAGTCCGAGACCCCCACAGTGACACGCTCCGTTCCATAATTTAGTTGTCCCATTGAACCTAGGTGCCATCTAGGTTGGGTATCCACTATACAACTTTTAGTCCAAGGGTTTTAGACCCATTCCTCGTTCCAACTTCTCAACAACCATTTGCTTACCCTCGGGTTAGCGAGTTAGCGGCCGCTACGTTATCTTTTGACATCACGTAGTCAATAGAGATAACCCCTGTTGTGAGAAATTGTTTAATGGTATTATGTCAACGACTTATAAGTCTAGACTTACCATTCCACATCTAACTCTGTACATAACCAATTTTGACTTGACTATCGCAATGCACACAAATTGAAGGTACGAGTTTACCACTAGGAACATTCTCGAAATAATGGCATAGCCATTCGGCCTACTCGCTCGCGATACGAGTCTAAGGCTCTCAGCATAGGTCCCGTCATGGATCTTAGCTATCACAAATCGTTTTGAGAATTTCCATAAAACCAACTGCACTGGCCTACGTAAACACGTAGCCTATAATGAACTTAACGTCCTTTGATATCCATGCTATACTTTCCAAGTACAGCTAGATATCCTACGTAGTGCAGTCCAAAGTCACGAGCATACCTTAAGTATCTCATAACTCTCACTATTGCCTTCTAGTGCGTAACACTAAGGTTACTCGTATGTTTACCGAGTTCGTTAACCACAAAGGCAATATCCGGCCTAGTGCAACCCATTAGATACAATTAAACTACCAATAATCTGAATGTATTCTCCGTGAGTAATACAATCTCCGTGATTATCGGCTAGTTATACGTTAGTATCTAACGGTGTCCAAGCCACTTGATTATCATCCTTAGTAAGGATTCAATCAACACAATGAGATTGGCTTACCTCGAGAGCAAACGGTCTTCTCATGGATTTTAATCTCGAAGATTAAACTTGCCAATACTCACACCTTTCATGTCTCAAATTTAACATGATCATGGTAGAATTGATCATTTGATCATTACTACTCACGTTGAGTTTATCGTGTATAAACAAATAGTGATATCACCGTCTATCGTACGCAAAACGTAGACACACTTTCACTTTCGTTTATACCAAACTCGTTGGTCATTATTGTATGATCAAACTCACATGCCAAACACTAAGGCAATTGTTTGAACTAGACAATGATCTCACCACATCGTGGAACCACAAACCCTCAGGTCGTTCCATGTCTACTAAGAAAGCGACACATCCATTTTGATGAACTTCCAAGCCTCGCTAAACGGCTTTGGCAAGTATCATTCTAATGGATTCCATTCTCATCACACGAGAATGTATATCGAAGTAACCGTGGCACTCGCGTTACATGTAATCTACAATTACAAGCTTGGCCATTTTACTTCAATATAACCAACCGATTTTTTTCTTCCGACTAGTGATCCACTCAGGATCCCGAGGTTTTACAACCTGGAGGAAGAACAACCACTTCCAAGTATGATTCTTTAAGATAGAATCTACTTCACTCTCGATAGCCTCTCCCGGGTTGGTCCACCTGTAGAAGTCAACGCTTCTACATACGTTCGAGGCTCATTTTCTAACAACCATGTCAGAAAATCCAATTTATTTCCTAGTAAACAAGTTAGATTTTGCGCATCACATTCTACCATGTACGTTAGAAAATCTGAACCAATGGATTTTTCAATCCTAGCTCTCTTGCTACGTCTAGCTTTAAGCTCGGGTTCTCTTTCACACCCTTCAACCATAGCTACGCCGAAAGTTCCTTTCAACGTGCTAGGTCCTTCATTGAACCTCCACAAAAATACATCTTCAAAGAACGATGAATTTCTAGATTCAATTTATCGTGTTCTTATGTACATCCAACCTATAAGACTCGTGTACTAAGAACCGATACACGCCTTTGGCAAGACACCCCCACATTTCAGGCATTGGTAGGAAAACCTTCTACGTATCCACAATTCGTAAGAATTCCATACGGGTAACCTTATTTAAAAGGTACTTACTTGTCCAAAGTATTGTCTCACCCCACATACTTTGAGGTAGACCCGAACATATCAACATCTTGATATTTATGTTCGGCAACAACGTTTGATTGAGATGAATACTGTGTCGTACGCTCGAGTACGATACCAACGCTTGCGCAGAAATCACCACTAGGTGTTTCATATTCACTACATCGATCGTTCGCAACCACATTAATCCACGATTAATTTGGTTTTTCTCTTTTTATTCTTATAAAGAATAACCATGTGCTACACGTTAGCACATCTCGTAGAAGCTAACAGATTAGCCTTTACAAATCCATTCGGTTTTGACCGAAAGGCCACAAACCCAAATCAGTGTTTCCGAAATTGAAGCACGAATCAGTGCTTAGTAGTGAAGCACGCAACATGCTATACTAAGCACGAATCATTGCTTCTAAACTAACCCACCGATTCCAAAGCAATCTCTATTGCTTTAAATTATAACCTCACAGCAACATTCG